GACGATGATGGCTGCGGCTGTGGCTGGGGCGAGTCCAGCAGGGTCCTACAAAAAACAAACAGCAAAAACATGAATGAGGAGGAGAGGGAGGAGGACGGTGGGGTACGCCGAAGCGCATGAAGGCAGGGACAAAGACACAAACCTCGTGAACGAACGGGTCAAACGCCGAGCAGCGTCGATATTCGGGAAATAGTCGACCAGGCCGGCTAGACGACGCTGGACAAACGTCAAAGCGGAGGAGGTGGACGGCGGCTCGCACACGTCTTTCCTGTTGCGCTGAATTTTCGCTCGCTTGTTAGGTAAGACGGAAGACGACGACTGATCAACGTGTCTGGTGGTGATGTCTCTAAGCGAGGCCGGTCGCTTCGGGGCGACACGAGTGGTCCTGAAAACAAGAATGGTCTAATACAACGGACGACGGACCACAAATGATGACCAACAGCGGCGGTCAGTCACCTACCGATTAGGTTCCTCGAAATGCTTGTCCATTGAAGCGGCTGGTATTCTGCATGCTCCGGTACGTACGAAGTATCTGCAACAACAAACCGGCCGTTTTAGATATTGTTCATTGGTCGACGAACACCATCTCGTCCATATCACAACAAACACACTACACCACAGCGGATGTATGACGTGCCCCGGTGAAAACGACTCCTACTTGCTGTCCGCCGCAAAAGCAACTTAACAACTCTTTTGCACATGACAACACCACTTCACTTGCCTGCCGTAAGTTCCAGTCCAAAACCGCAACACAAAATACTAACAGCACCACTATACGGAAACCGATGATTACATAGACACAGACACAGACACACACACACATACACATACATACAAAACGATCTAGTACAGCGGCACCACAAACAACCTATACCACTGTCCGTCCTCGCACCCCGACAATGCAATGCTTGACAACTCGAGGTTCGCCAAAGAATAATGGTGTAAACCTACGTACAGTATTCTACATGATACACAGCGTTTCAGCATTCAAACAAATCGTTTCGATCAGGTGTTATATTTGTTCTATTTTTGTTGAATAATTGCTACCATAGACAGAATTATTATACTAATCAGTTATGTACCAAAAATTATAAATTTTGATTACAAAATTTAAGCTTTTACAAGTGTCACGCCATTTGGATTATATTTTCAGGATCGAAAACAATATTATCGTTTAATCGAAGCAAAATGTTCTGCATTTTAGCAGAATTTTTGTAAGTCTTATAACATAAATTCTGTTTTAAATGCCGTAAAATAATATTTATTTCTTTCATCCGCTAATGCTAGTTTCGAATATCCATCAAAAATTTACTACGATAAATTCACAATGAAGGAGTACAATTAATGAACTGTACATCAGCGCGCATCTATTCTGTCATGCTGTTGCGTTCTTCGATACGTCTGACTGAACAGACAGGTATTGTCGGGTTTTCTTAATACAGAGTTCCATCTTCATATAATTTTTTTTCTGCAGTCTGCCTTCTATATTTTGATCCTTATAGTTGATACCTTCTATAGGTTTTTATGTCTTCAACAATAGTCTCAGTGTTCAAAAGAAAGTTTCCGAGGAATATGTATATACTTTATTTCACTTTTGAATTTTCATTTGTACGTGTATGTATCGATTGGTCCTCTATGAGCCCGCGTATGCATGCCATACGTATCCAATTTTCATGATCGACAACCAACTGCACTAACCTGACTTTAATGAATAGTTATGCAGGCGTTGATGTTCAACGAAAACCTGGCGCAAATTTCCATATAAATGATTAGCCTTTTCGTTCGCCAACATCTGTCTCGAACATCAGTCAATATTACTGAGATATCATAATGCAAGATTTATCTTGTTTTGCCACCGACATCTTGGGTTCCGGACCATGATAGTAGCTCCAAACTGGTGATGTCCGTCGCGCGTGACGGAATTCCCGAATTATGAATTGCGTATTGCGAAACAATGCAAGACTACAATTAATTAACTTTCCTACATTGCGTTCTACAGTTTCTGTAAATGATCGACAGGTTTATGCCACTGCACATGCGTCTTCAAGCTGAATTCAACCTTCGGATTACTCCTCTTTTGTGATTTTCCTCCTCGGTGCTGATTCCAAACTTTCTGTCAGACTGATATATCCTATTCGAAACACCTGTGTATGTTTTAATGGT